AAAATTTGCTTAAAACACACTTAAAAATTTAATTTTAATTGTTTTCTCTTAACAAAATTTTAAATTTATAAAAAAAATAATACTCTTAATATAAATACACTTTAAATTTTACCAAACACCTTTTCTAATCTCGACTGAGTTCACGAGATGGAAGAAGAGAACAATAAACATTAACTTAGTTTCTCTTTCATTATTTTCTTCAATTAATATGTTAACTTTTTCCATGGAAAGAATACCAATTCACAAACAAGAGAGAAGAACAAGAGCAGAAACCTAGAAGAAACATTATAGAGTGAAAATTTAATTTTAATATTGTTATTATACCTCTTAATCTGAGTGTGAAGGGCATGAACAAGGAGTGGAAAAAAGTTCAAGTCGGAAAATGCACATTGTATGAATATTTATAATTATATTATATAAATAAATAAAAATATCACATTATATAAATATTTATATTTTAAAAAAATTAAAAATAAACAAAATGAATTTATAACCCTCAACCTCTGGATCCATCTTCTTCTCTTCTTTCTTTCTCTTTCTTTCTCTTCTACCGGCCAGGTTTGGTCACCAAACCTAAATCCGGCCAGCTTGTTTGATTGAGTCGAAGTTGGCAATCGCCTTCGTTTGGTTTCACAATGCTCTTGACACCACTCTGCCTTCCGTTTTTCTTCCTCTGTCTTAAAACTGTTTTTGGAATTTGCTCCGATCAATTCGGCTTTCTCATCCATCAACTCCTCAATTATAGCAAAACGATTTTGTTGCGAGACTTTTGCCCCTTGGCTTCTATCGAGAGCCGCTGTTTTGGCCAAGTTTCCCGGGATAGATTGTGGAGAAGGAGAAACTTTGGTTGGTTGATCTGCAAAGGATTTTACAATCTACTATTGTAAATTACATTAAATAATTTTTTAATATTAATATTCATCTACTAATATTTGTTTTATATATGTATATATATTAAGAAATGTAAATAACTAATTTTTTTAAATTATTAATTCTAATTTTTAAGTGAAAAAAATACTTTCTCTATATCACAAAATAACAAAGATAATAACTTTTTATTGAAATTTAAATTATTATTTGAAGCCTTATTAATAATGTGATTATAATCCTTAATTACTTCATCTACTTTTAAAATAATAAATAAAATAAAAATAAAAAAATAGTTTAAAAAATTATATCCACCGCTGCATCAATATTACTTTCTATATTCATTTATTTTTGTTTTAGTGAAATATATTCAATTATTAGCATCCCTCAATTTTAAATACTCTATATATACACTCTTCTAGAGTACTCTATTGCGCCAAACAAAGATATGAGGATCTTCACAAAGCTCTCTGCACCACTCTGCCTCCTTTTTGTCTTCCTGTGTCTTAAAATTGCCTTCTCATCCTCTATACATGCTTCTTCCTTCTCAACAACGCTTCTCTGCTCTCATGAGGAGGCTCTTGCTTTGCTGCAATTCAGGACATCCTTCTCGATCGATTACACTGTTTCGGACCCATATTCTTGTGGGGATCATTTTTATTCTAAGATTGAGTCATGGAAGGAAGGTATAGACTGTTGTTCCTGGGATGGGGTTAGCTGTGATAATGTCACAGGCCATGTAATTGCCCTTAATCTCAGCTGCAGTTTCCTTTCTGGCACCTTTCCTTCCAACAGCACTCTTTTCTCCCTCAGAAACTTGCAGAGCCTCAATCTTGCCTTGAATGATTTTAGGCTTTCCAAGATTCCATCGGAAATCAGTCAGTTTACTAGACTAAAGCATCTTGATGTCTCTTTTTCTCAATTTTCGGGCCAAGTTCCGAGAGAAATTGCTCACCTCCCCAAGTTAGTTTCTCTCAACCTCTCAGTTCTTTTGACTTGATCCTTGAAACAACTACCTTGAGATATCTTGTTCAAAATTTGAGTGAGGTGAGAGAACTTGTGCTTAGTGGAGTGAACATGGCATCTGTTAATCCTCATTTCTTCATGAATCTCTCTTCTTCATTGACTACTCTTGATCTTAGGGATGGTGCGTTAGGAGGAAACTTTCCAAACAGTATTTTCCGCTTTCCAAATCTCAAGAATTTTTATTTAGATGGATCTTTTTGGGGGCAAAACCTCACTATTGATCTTCCAAGTTCCAATTGGAGCAGTCCTCTCCAACGGTTGCATTTAGGTGAGATGGATTGCGGAAGGCGATTGCTAGAGTCTATAGGAGATCTAAAGTCATTACAGTATCTGAGTCTTAGCTGCAACTTGGAAGGTTCCATTCCAGCTTCCATAGGTAACTTATCTCAACTAACTGATCTAAGCCTCTTTTTTAACAATCTTAACGGACAAATCCCATCATCACTTGCAAACCTCACTCAACTTACCCATCTTTACCTTTCCAATAATCAGTTTTCTGGTCCCATTCCAGCTTCCATAGGTAACTTAAGGCAACTAACTGACCTAAGCCTCTCTTTTAACAATTTTAATGGACAAATCCCAACATCACTTGCATACCTCACACAACTTAGTCATCTTGACCTTTCAAATAATCAGTTTTCTGGTCCCATTCCAGCTTCCTTAGGTAACTTAAGGCAACTTACTAGCCTGGACCTCTCTTCTAACAATCTTAGTGGACAAATCCCATCATCACTTGCAAACCTACCTTTGTTAGAGTACTTGCAACTCAATCATAACCAATTTCAAGGTCAAATAAATCAATTCCAGCAAAACTCCCTCATACTACTAGATTTGTCAAACAATAAACTCCAGGGCTCAATTCCTAACTCAATTGCTAATTTAGTAAATCTTAGTTTTCTCGATTTATCATCAAATCATTTTAATGATTTAGTAGAAGCTGACATGTTCTTGGCGCTTCAAAATCTGGAAACCATCTTTCTTTCAGACAATAATCTGTCCTTGAGAGTGAATGTCAATGCCAACTTCACATTACCCAAACTAGCTCATGTCTCCTTTTCTTCTTGTAACTTGAGTGAATTCCCCAATTTCATAAGACATTCAAATGATCTACAAAGCCTAGTGCTATCCAAAAATAGCATTTGTGGAAATATTCCCGAATGGATATGTGAAAAGGATCATCTCCAAATTCTTGACCTTTCTCATAACAATTTAATCGGGAAGATTCCAAATCGTCTTCCTAAGTTTCTCTCAGTGTTGAATTTGCAGGCCAATTACTTTGATGGAAATATTCCCAAATGGATATGTGAAATAGATGATCTCGAAATTCTTGACCTTTCTCATAACAATTTAATTGAGGAGATTCCAAAGTGTCTTCCTAAATCTCTCAGAGTGTTGAATTTACAGGCCAATTACTTTGATGGAAATATACCATTTGGGTTTCTAGAGGGCTGTGGATTACAAAATCTCAACTTACATGGAAATCAAATGGACGGGCTATTACCAAGGTCTTTGGTGAATTGTAGCATGTTAGAGGTTCTAGACGTCGGCAACAACAGCATAGAGGATACATTTCCTCATTGGTTGGAATCTCTACCAAACCTTCAAGTGCTTGTCTTAAGGTCCAACAAGTTCCATGGTTCTGTGCAGAGCACCAAAGAAAGTCCATGTTTTCCCAAGTTGCGTGTTTTGGACCTCTCCAGCAATTATTTTGTTGGTGCTTTGCCTGTTCTGTACATTGAAAATTTTAATGCGATGATGGACCCTCATAAAGAAGGTGGTTCCCCTGAATACATGATGGTGTTGACGAGAACCAATTCTTATCAATATTCACTAGTTGTGACATGGAAGGGATTCGAATATGAGCTGCAGGGAATCTTGACCGTATTCAGTAGTATTCATCTCTCAAATAACATGTTTGAGGGAGAAATTCCAGATGTTATTGGAAAGCTTAGTTCTCTCAAAGGGCTTAATCTTTCTCATAACAACCTTACTGGTCATATCCCACCGTCACTAGGGAATTTGATGAATCTGGAATGGTTGGATCTCTCTTCCAACGAGCTGACGGGGAAAATTCCTGATGCATTGGTATCTTTGACACAACTCTCTGTATTGAATCTTTCAAATAATCATCTTGTCGGGCTCATACCACAGGGCAGTCAGTTCAACACCTTTGGAAATGGTTCTTATGAAGGAAACCTTGGACTGTGTGGATTCCCATTGTCAAAATCTTGTGATGGAATTGGGACACCGCCGAGCTCCTTCCAAGAAAAAGATGAGTTGTGGAGATTTGGCTGGAGGGTTGTGGTGTTAGGCTATGGATGTGGAGTTGTTTTTGGACTGCTGATGGGATATCTTGTCTTCCGAGCAGGAAAACCAAAATGGTTTGTGTCTTTGTTTGATGGCCGACCAAGTCAAAGTGGAAGGAAGATGAGGAAAGCCAGAAGAATTGTTCAAAGAAGAAG